GTGGTTTAGCCTTATCATGATAAAAGATGACTCCTTTTCTATTCGCCAGTGCTGGCCTTTCCTGGTCCACTGCTTTTTTAACTTTTGACAGCTCTGAACAGTACTTGCCCGAGTCAACAGTTTGGTTCGGTTCCAGGAGCTAGTACAAAATTTCTTGCCAATCTTATTAAATACACGAATGACTTTTTTGGATGAAGACCATCCTTAGCAACCACCTGCGCACCTTGCCCTCAATGCGACCACGATCTTTGCGTGCGACATTGTTGTACTGGATCCAATTCTCGTCACCAGTCACAATTCGCTCCAAAAAGTCTTCATTTTCGTAAAGCGGGAGCAGCAATCACATGCGGTCATGCGGTCAAGTAAATTGCGTTCGCTCAGTTGGTCTGGAACCCAGATGTCGAGCTTTTATTTCATTCCCAATGATTGGAAGTGCCTTGTAACTGTCGCTGCTGATACTGCTAGGGTTTGTCCAACCTGGCGCGCGTCTATATGTCGATCTTCTGGGCAAGTTCACACAAACGGTCCACTTCAACGCATTTGGGGCGCCCGCTTCGAGATGCGTCTTCGATGTCAAATTTTTCTTCTTCGATTTCGCGAAACCAGCACCTGCATGTTGATTTGTCAACGGAATGTCTTCCGTAAACACCACACATTTTCATGCCTGTGTTGCTTCTTCTCCTTATGATAATAAAAAAGCAAAATGTCACAAATGTGCTCCTTTGCCACAGACATTTTGAGTGGCTCCAGCGAGATGTTAACGACACAATCGACTCGGCTATTGAACCAAAATGAGTATCAGACCCTACTGCTTTAGCTGGATTACAAGTTAAGCATCTTCGATATTAGTTGAGCCAAGTAGAAACACCGCTTTGTCACCTTTGGAAAAACGGGTAGAACTTTTGAAACAACCCAATACTTTCAATAGTACCAGACTTTCATGCAAAATCTATAACATTTCTACAAATATATTAGGTCGGTGCAAAAGTTCTTTCCGTTTTTTGGACCTACTTTTAAGTCCCTTAAAGTAAAGATGAACAAGCCCAAGGACTGCTCAATGCAGAATTTCTTTCTTTTTCCAACCGTTACGCTCGCTCCAACGGGCGCTGATATAACGAAGCTTACAACCCGTCATTTTTAACATGCCTGAGTTTCGCTAATTTTTAGAATTTAGGTTTGCGTCTTTTGTAGGCGCTTTGAATAATCACTTGGTATTGCAACTTTTTCCAAACTGATACAGTTTTTTGTGTTTCACCAGCCTCCTTTTTGGAGTTTTGCGGAATTTTGTCCAAAAGTTTTGGCTTTTGATAATATTGCATATTATATAAATGCATCAAATGTAAAATCTTCATAATATTGAGGTTTCAGAACTCGATTATTACTATCACTAACCGGTGCTTAACCGTAAAATCAGTTAAATTCAGACTTTGTCTGCAAAAGTCGTATATACTGCAAAGAAAAAGTAATGTTAGAAAGATGAAGAAGATGCAGCGAAGAAAACGTCAACTGTTTACCATTTCATCTTTTACGAGGGTGTAATAGGCCGAACTTGAAAATTGGTCGCTTCTGAAAACCTATCTTTACAGTTTTTTGAAACGCGATAGAAAGATACCAAAACTTACAGTAATTTGCAAAAAGGTCTTTTTTCTGCCAAAACGCTATCGACTCATTCAAAGTTTTCAGATGAGAACTCTGGAAGCTAGAGAAAGTTAGAAATGGTAAGAATGGTGAGTCATAAGCTTCGAAAATTATTTCAGCGCTCGTCGGGATTGTACAACGCGAACATAACAGATGGAAATAGGGGGAAATACTGCACCGGGTAGTGCTTGAGCTATTCGTTAGAAATGGTAAGAATGGTGAGTCATAAGCTTCGAAAATTATTTCAGCGCTCGTCGGGATTGTACAACGCGAACATAACAGATGGAAATAGGGGGAAATACTGCACCGGGTAGTGCTTGAGCTATTCGTTGATATTGAACTATGTGTTAGTTTGAAGACAGTGTCCGGGCAAAAACAAAATCCACTTCCCGGAGATTATCCGCAACGAAGGCACGAACAAGGCAAGAACATACGTTTTCCAAAACCCTACATTAAAATTCGAAGGTCCCCGCCAAGCTGAGACGCAGAGTCTCTGCGGGAACCTACAATTTTGACTGTGGCGGCATGCGTATCGGCCGCATAGCAGGAATTCGAACAGGTCGAAGGACCCCGTCCCGAGGCGTAAGTTTCCATACTTCCCGATCATTTTTCTTGCTTTAGGTCGAGCTCTGTAACCTCGTACTTGCGCAGTGTTGTGCCTGAAGGGCGCTATTTTCGCTTGGCAATGAAATCCCAAGACCTACACTTGTCCGGATACTGCTTTTTGAAGTAGGTCCAAAAGACGGAAAGAACTTTTGCACCGGCCTGGTAGTCAAAACGAGTGAACTTATTTTCTAGCCAAGCTAATGAATGTGATGGTACAATGTGGTAAGATCACAAACCATGTGAGTAAGTACTAGGTCTATATGCGGTAGGATTCAATAAGTCACTTTCTTCCCTACTTCAAGGCCTGGTACGAGGTTGACAAATGTCAGATTGAACTTGTTAAGTGAAAAAGCAAACGGTATTGCAAGTATCATCGGCTCCCAGATTCGTGTGGAGGTGGAGTCTTGCCAACTCCCGCGTGGCGGCTTTTGCTAGCGAGAGATTACGAAAAGCAATGTTATGACGTGGAGGTTTAGCAACTTTACATGTGTTATAAGGTAAAGTCTGCAATACACCTCCACACGAATCTGGGAGCCGATCATACACATTTATACGCACATACGCGTCCCCTTAACAAGTTGATACATGTTATATGGGACATGCACACGATTTTGCTCAAGGCTTCATTTTCACAAGTTTTTTGGCCACAGGTCGGGACTCACACCGCGCACGGCGGCTGTTCTGCCGCGTATGACGCGCTCAAATTCTGTACGCAAAAACTCTGTGATGCTAAGGTGGCACGGCGGGGGACTAGGAGTGGGGGGGGGGGGGGAGAAAGGGGGAGAGAGAGGGATTGAGGTAGCGGCAGATGCATGACTTAATGCAAAAAGTAATATTGCGACAGGATTACTGGGGGGAGCTGTCTCTTCCACCACTCGAAGTTTTGTTGCGGCGCAGCTCCGCAAAAAATTGAGCTGACTCTGACTTCCCGTTTACAGTTCTTTTTTTGCAGTGATGTAGGAAACAATTGCCTCCTTACACAGTGCACAATGCACATACAAAGATATCCAGACATGATATCAATCAGGTATGTAAACGGACAAGGGCTAAGAGGAGCATAATGTAGATAACTATAGAAAATCGTGACCAAAGTAAGGCAAGCTTTTTTCTGAAATTTTTGTTGTTGGTGAAAAGAGAAAAGTCGTTTGCAAAACAACGAATATGCGTAGCTGAGAAAAGGAACAAAGTATGAAATTACGTCAAAAAATTTGTAAGTGATGTGCAAAATGCTTTTTTCGTCAGGATTAGAAACACGTAGTAATAGTACCGGTCTAGGAGGAAAGCGCGCTCTGCTCAAACGACCCAGGCAACTGGCGCGATTAAGTGGGCAATCGTCAACTTCAAAAATGGCAAAGGCAAGTTCCAAAGTGTCTAGTTGCCATCCTCACGCGCCGGGCCCTGCTTTGCTCTGTCCGAAAACATTACAGTAGAATTTTTTCGTTAACCAATATTCATGTCTGCCGCAAAATCCAATCTAATCCGTTGCAGTGAAACCATTTCCTCTTTCCAAAGAAGTATTGATATTTGCCTGAAGTGCTATTTCTCTGCTGAACGAGACGAGTACTGAGAAAAGGAACAAAATTGATTAAACTTGGAAAACTTCTTTTTTTTTGAAATTTTATTTAATAAACCCATTTTGAGAGAGAAATGTTGTAATAATGGCAGAGTAACGAGAAGAAGATCACAATGTTAATGTCAATGGCTAACAATCGGGAACATTTGCAGCTTACCGGTTGAAAGAATTGTAGTGTCATTGCTGCTAAGTGAATAGCACGTGTCCATATTCTCCAACTATAACACTGAACAATCACATAAAGGTCTATTTATCAATATCTGTACCATACTGATTTTCCGCATCAGCTGTGAGACTGATGCTCAAACTAGGGCTGGAAGCTCAAAGGCAGTGGATCGGCAGAATAAAACCCGTGACAAAACAAGGTCACAGGGTAGGAGCCCTCATATGGAACCTATCGGCCAAAGTCCGATCTTTCTCTGCCACTTCTAACCCCCGAAATTTCAAAGCGAAAGCAGCGCTCATCTCCTGTCCTCTCCGAACCACCCCATGGACGAGTGAACGCGAAGCCCGTCATGGCGAAGACGCAGAGTCGTTACGGCTGCTCATGCTTATAGCATTGCGGCTGGCGCTCTGATCACTCGTCCATGAGGTGGGCGGGTTCGGAGAGGACAGAAGATGAGCGCTGCTTTCGCTTTGAAATTTCGGGGGTTAGAAGTGGCAGAGAAAGATCGAACTTTGGCCGATAGGTTCCATATGGGGGCTCCTACCCTGTGACCTTGTTTTGTCACGGGTTTTACTCTGCCGATCTACTGCCTTTAAGCCATTTGCGTTGATTGTGCATTAGCAAAGCGGATACAAAAAAAGATTCACCATCCAAGAAAATCGTCAGGTTCAGTTATCGGATTGCAGCGGTTTGAGCGCTGGCTGTCTTCAGCGCTTTTATGCCTTTTTCCATTGGGGTTTTTTTTTCAGCGTAAAAGTTACGCAAAAAAATGGCTAGCTTCACAAGAACTTCACACGTCAGGCAGCACAAACTTTGAAAAATCGGAAGCTTCGTGAATTCCTCGAACTCGGCAAACTGTGTAATAACAAATATATCTTTAGTTTTGATTATAATGATCGAAATAATACTAACAATTCCATGTGGAGTCAAAGCAGACTACTACAAAAGTCACTATGACCACTTCACTTGCTATGTGCGTAAATAAAAATATAACAATTAATACATAAAAGTTCATCTGTTTTGAGCAAGACAATTCATTAAATCATCAGACATGATTTCTGTACATGTATAATTCACCATAGGTTAGTTAATCTGTCCAATCGCTGTCAGTCGAATCGGATTCTGAAAATCATTGATAGTTATTCTAGCAAAATGATTTTAAATTGCACAAAACCCTAAATCAAGGAGATCTTTTGACGTACTCGTTTTTTTCTCAGACCCTAAGGCCGAGCTGTCTTTTGACCAGCGCCGTTCCAACGCCGTGTCGGAATCCATGTTGACGCGACCCGAGTGATCGATCGATTTTCTGACACGGCGCTGGAAGCGCTGGCACGGACTCAGTAACTCTCTTTCAAAAAGGATTTTGCGGAAATGTGATTAATGGTAAAAATGGCAATCAGAGATGGTATGAAAAGTGAAAATTTGAGCTCACCATTTTCACTATCGAATGCAATATATTCTCTACGTTTATCAAGCTCTGCTTGTATTGCTGATAAGAGGCCACCATCACCCGGCATGGACTGGAACGGGAAAAATATGTGGAAAATTTTCGAGTTAATAAAAAACTCACATCACCATTAGTCAATGTTCTAGACGATAAGTTAACATGTCGTAGCTTTGCTTTGTCAACTCTTTGGATTTCCTAAATAAGACAAAAATTCAAAAATTACATTAATCGTTGTATAAATTTGTGAGTGACTGTTTTTACTTGTGAGTAATAACGATAATATTTGAAATTGTCAAAAACCAAATTAGTTTTCTGAAAAATTTTTGCGAGGGTGTATTTCGCGCCCCGTTTTCTGATTCAGGGCTATAAACCCGCCAAAAACTCTTGAAAAGTCCTCAGGAATCCTGGGAGTTTCCGCTGCTTCCCCCTTCCCGAAAAAATTTCTGTGGACACATTAAATGTAATTAATAAATGTTAATGATTAATGATTAATGATTAATGTAATTAATCAAATGTAATTAAACCCGTTTTATAAAACTTGTTTCCTCACCTCTAAGAAACTTCTTCTATTGTCGTCAATTGTTGGGGACACTTCCGATATGCGTTGCTTCACCTCGGATGGCGGTGGAGTGGGAGCTGGTGACAGTAAGCCAGGTGGCGGTGGTGGAGGTCCCGGCGGCAGAATTAACGTCGTCGGGCCCGTTACGGTCAGTGGGTCGAGTTTGGTGGCATGATGGGGCACAGGAGACGATTGGCTAGACGGTGGTGTGGGTGGAGGCGACTGAGTTGGAGCTTGAGCACCATTCGGTAGAGGAATTTCGATTCTCCATGTTGGATGGTTCAGGTCTGAAAATGTTAGATATAACTCGAAAAGGTACGAAATGACGAATAGGTAAAGATGAGAGAAAGAAAGTCAGAAAGTGCTAGTATTTTGCTTAGAAAATAAACATAAATGGATAATGCAAAAGATCTGGGCCCTTTCGTACCATTACCGTAATCCTCCTAATCCCAATATCAATGTGCAAATTTAAAAAAGCAGTGGGTTTACACAGAGTGAGCAAGGATGGAAGATAATGCGGACCTTTTGTGAATATACCTATGTTACCGTAACCAAGCTCGACTTCGGTGATACATAGGCGATATACTTTACAGGTTCACTATACTACGAAAAATCACAGACAGCATCGTGCGACAGAGAGTACGGCATACTGTAGGCTGCTCGCAAAACAGCGTCCTAACAAATCTTAGCAACGGAATTCTTGAGTGGAAACATTGGAAGATAGCTTTAGCAATTACTTAAGATGCAGCTCATACGCTTCGTTTGTGGTAGCTAAACATGGCTTCAAACTCTTGCCCATTACCGTACTCAGAGACGTTGATTGGTATTAGGGTACGATATTGGGTAAGAATCCAAAGTTGATTTTCTCAATCACGAATGAATCATAAGAGCTGCACCTTGGACAATATGTAGAGTTAGTGAAAAGTCATTCTAGGAGAGTAGCAAAACACAAAATAAAGCAGAATTCGTCTGCTTACCAGATTTTCTATTGTCAGACAGTCGTGGTCTATCCAAATGAGATGTGTGCATAGTGGGATATACTAAAGGAAACGATACATGCAATTCGTTCCTTCAAAAATTGGAAGGTAACTTCCAAGAAATTAGTTTCACCTGGTAATAGTGGAGGTGTCTTTCGTCTACCTACTGGAGATCTATATGACATCGACTCGAATCGTGAAGGTAATGGTGGTGGAATTTCTTCCTCCTCTTCCACAGCGACAAATGATGATCTTCCATAATACGAGGTCTCAAATGTGTAAATTCGTAAGCGGTTTACATGTAATTGGAAAGAAATGAAAGTCTGAGCCAAAAAACACTAGACAGTCAGAAAAGGAACGGAAATTCTGAAGAAAAATACGTTATTTTGGGTCGTAATAATATTCCTAGATCGAACATGCCGAAAAAAAACTGAAAAATGGTAGTTTTCAAGAAAAGCAGTTCAATCACATACCCGGGCCAAATCGTTCAATCTTCCTTCATTTTTTATCCTTCCGTCATCCTTCCTCACAACAACAGCAGGGAGTTTCTGGTATTCATTCTCGACTGAAGGTGTCGCTTCCCACTCTTGATTTAAGAACTCGTCCAGACGGTGTTCCTAAAAACGAATATATTATTTAGCAGAATTTTTTGAACGGAGATAATTACTATCCAAGCCAAACCTTCGGTAAAGAGAGCGAGTGAGAACCATGAGTTGTTTCCATATCAGCACGCTAAAAAACAATGTAATGAAACTTAAAATTTGAATTCCGCTCATTGTTAAAAAATCTCTATAGATGTGCGAAATCAAAAATACACCAAGACATCAGATAAATTACGGGACGCATATTCCATAAATAACCTCCGGCATCACGACAGCAGAATTTTCGAAACTGAGAAGAAAGCGCGCTCCAATCGAACAGGACAAAAAACTTTGGAGGTGCTCTAACCTTTGATTCAACCAGATCGTCGGCTGGAAGGCGGGGCTTTGTGAACTTATTAAGGCCGCCCGCGCCCGCGGTGCAGTCTGCGTCTATCTCGCACGCGTGCTCTCTGATCATTATCTAGCCTTTAGGTCACGAACCTCCGCCTTCCAGCCGCCATGCCAGTTGAATCAAAGGGTACCTTTAAAACCATTTCGAAGCACATCATTCGATTTGATGCTTTCTGGGGTTCTGGGTCACGTAAAAGATGCGGAATTCGCGTGTCAAAAGGAAATTTATTCAATCGTGTCGGGACCAATTTGTAAACACGTTTCCTTACTACCCCCTTACCTTGTGAAGCGATACCTTCTTGACCTCCCTTGGTGTTCGTCGCTGTTGCTTGTGTGCCACCATCCTGAAAACGAGTGATAGCGATGAATTCTTCACATACTTTCATCGCTCGAAAACAGTTCCAAAGCGGTGATGGATACTTCCAGCGATAGAGGTCATAAACGAGGCCAAATTAGCGCAACTCACATGCTGTTCCTCGTATCAGCCAACGAGTTATGCGGGTTGCGCACGAAACCTTCGCCTGGTCCGACTGTGTTCCGCTGGAACAATTCAATATGAGAATCACACCGCAAATGCTAGATGCAAATAGAAGATAACAACTGATAGCTGTGATAAGCGCGAAACATGGTTTAGGCTTACCATTTAGCGCGATCGCAATGTTACCCAGATAACACTCTAATATATTGAAGGTTTCTCGTTTGGCTGTCGCGAAAAATCCTTTTTTCTCTTGAAATTTATTGCTGAGTACAGATGATTTTTCTCCAAGTAACTCTTTCCATGTAATATCAATGTAGGAATGTTCAAATCATTTTGATTCGAACACTCGCGATAAACCAAAACTATTTAAGGGCCGGGCATACTTCACGCGATTTCAGTCGCGACGCGATTTGGCAGTTCGCCAGAAGTCTTCATGCCCAACACTAGCAAACTGCACATGCATAGTGTGTATAACTTACGTGAATTGACAGAAGGCCCTATCTTCTGTACATTTAAAATGTACTTACAATAAGTTATGGACGGTCGGAATATTGCCATATCGCATCGCGACTGAAATCGCGTGAAGTATGCCCGGCCCTTTAGCTAAAGGAGCGCTCGAGCCTGTTTCCTCACGAAGAAAAAAACGAGTCGCAAATGTTGCAAAAATGTGTTATTGAACTCATCTTATATATAAAGCTGAATATCTGTTTGTCTGTCTGTCTGTATGTCTGTCTGTATGTCTGTATGTGTGTACGTATGTTCCGAATAGAAAATTCCATTTCTGAACCGATCCGGACCAAACTTGGCAACATACACTTCGGGCCCCGGCGGGTGTCATAGGCTACTTTTCGTATCGATCGATATCGATTTTATCGATTTTTTGCAAAATTTGAGCTACGGGGCTGGGAGTTGGCACAGGGGGGTAATCGAGCATGCTGATCACCCCCGTGGGGGTTAAGAAATGGAATTTTCTATTCGGAACATACGGCGGAGCCGGGTAAGCCAGCTAGTAATAAGAATAATACAAACTCAAAAAAGCAAAATCGCTTACAAGAAACAAAAATTATAATTACGAAGAAAAGACACCAATAAAAATAAAAATGAAAGATGCCCCAAAACCTTTTCGGAAAAAAGTTCGAAATGGCAACAGTTACTGACTGTAAGTCCTGTGCGAAGGAGAGAATGCGAAGTAACATTTTGAAAAGGGCTAATTTAGAAAATATGCTTCCGTGGAACAATAGTTAGAGCTATTTCTAGAATCAAGGAGGAAAAAAACTGAGATTTCCGCAGAAGGAAGCAGCAGTAGATTCCAAGCATTTTCCAACAGAATGTCTTAATGATTCTTAAAACGTGAAATCTTATTATTACTGCGAAAAGATCAATGAAAAATTTCAATTTCAAGTTTAGGAGATCAATATAAGCAAAATATCATATGTTTTTGAACGACTACGGTGTCCTTGTGCATAACATCTATTAACGCAGAAAGCCTGAAACTTTAACAAAGACCATTCGATAAAACGCAAGTTTAGCAATATTCTACTCAATGTCCAATAAAATTTATAACATTACCATGTGCTACTTATATGCACAAACAGGAACTTTTGCTGATGTTCCTTGGTTTTAGATACCAGAACTGGCAAAAAATAAAATTGACTTTAGCATCATTTTTTTTGAAAACGCCTTGAATTTTTGCGCGTTACGATCAACTACAGACACTGAGAATTTACAGCATGGTGAACATCGTAATAGCTTTTGAAAGATAGTATCAAGCAAGAAACTGCATGCTAAACTTGACCGTGTCTAAGCGATAATGTCCAATTTACTGTTTGGTAGACATACAATTAATTGTAATAATTATTACATCAGTTTTCGTTCGTCATAGTGCAACAGATACAAAAACCAGTAGCATGATAATTTAGTACCATTAGCAGCGAAACCTGCTTTCCCATACCAATCAAAAGTTTCACCAATATGTACAAGTGTGGAAACAGGAATAGTTGAAATTAGACAGGATCTAATGTCTAATGTACGATCATAGCAACACCATCTAGAAACATAAGAAATTTTCGAGAAGGAAAGGTTCTTTGGAATGTTACCGTAATGGGAGAAGCTTTAGCTTAGGATCAGCAAATCTGAATAATCAAAAAAAAATGGGGACATGAGGGTGGTAAAGTTACCTTTTTATTGAGAAAGGTTGGCAAGGCGGAGATCAAGGAATTTTCTTATGAATCTAATATTCATGATTACTTCACAATTTTCTACATGTAAAGATAATTTAATTGCATGAGTTCTTAACACAGTAGAATATTTTCCAATGAATTTAGGTATACTTAATGGTCAGAAGAAAAGGGGGGGGGGAGGAAATTCCAGTGACAAAAGAGTTGCTAATCTATGCCTCAATCATTGATTATCAGAAGAGCGTAGAAGATTCCAAAAATGCAGGGAAAATCTCCATGTAATTAAAAAGTTTGCCGAAATTTCAATTTTTCTTGCATAGCCCCTACTTGCGTTTTCAATGAAAATCTTCACAAGTAAATTACTCTTGGCTGAAATGTCCCCAAAATAATTCATAATAAGAAATAAGATTGCAGAAGGATAAATCTTTTACAAGCACTAAAGCAGAAATTAGCGCGCTGTCGGTGGCGATTACGCTGGAACAATGATATGCACTGGAAAATCGGATCGCGCAACGCCTGAATGGCTTATCTGGGTCGTCAAAAGAACACCTCCGATGGGTCTGAACATCTCCCTAATCTCCTATTTCCGATGTTCAGAATAATAAAGTGTTGGAAATGGAGCGGAAGAGATTTTTGTAGAGTTCCCTTTTAACAAGTGCAAAGTTCAAGAAGATACAAGGTGTTTGAAAGTACCTGGTCTAGAGTGCCTCCTATTCAATTTTCAATGCGCTTTTTCTTTTAATGTGCTCAAAACCTAAAAACCATAATTCCAATAGAAATCGGGTTTATTTGTGGTTTCTTTGATTTTTTATTCGTTTGAAACTCAATCACAATAGCTTTTCACGCCTCTTTCATTGAAATGCTTATTACAAAGAAGAGAAAGCATGTCACAAAAAAACTATGTACAATTTGGAAAGCTTTTTCTTCTCCAGTTTCCCACAAGTACTTTTATCTTCTCAAGAAAATTCGCTTCGAGATACAATGCCTTGAAAGGCAAGCGACTACTGATATTTTCTCGTCAGAAAATCAAGCTTCAAAATGTTATATTCTATTTTCAAAAATTTACAAGCGTGCAAAGTTTTTGAAAACGAACACAATGAGAGTTAGAGAGTTGTGCTACGAATACAGAAAACTTGCAACTTTTTGTGGAAGAAAAACGAAAAAAGAACATATTAAACAGCGGAACTTTTCCGACTCTTTAGTGGAGCTGGAAATATTGGTTATTTCCAAATTTTTTGGAGTATACTGAATCAAAAAACTCTTCTTTGTCCAGTGGTTTCTAGTTCATCGAGTAGATATAGCAAAAATCGAGATAGAGTTCGCAATCGAAGTTCTTGAGGCCAGAACCTTTTCAAAAACTCTGCAAAAACGGTAAAGGTATGTATGTAGGAAGAGAGTGCAATGAAAGTATTATAAACGAGCTATTTTTTTCTCAGGTAAATGAGAAGGCTGGAATATTGAGATAAGACACAAAATAAGATTCTATACACGCAATCATGGTTTGAAAAGCACAGTTCATACCTTTATCCGCAGAGAGCTTCGTACTTCGCTACCTCTAGTCGCCACAATGTCTCGGATCAATTTGATTTGTTCTTCGTTACCGGGTTCTAACTAGAAGTAAAGAATTTTGCTTTTTTCACAAAAACCTTTTTCCCTAAAATAATTGCATAAAATGATACTATTCTGGAAAATTATGGAAAATTAGGAACACTGATGAGCGTATATAAAAAAACCATTGAAATTAGCTAATGTGCCTCGAAACTGGAGAGATTCAAAAAAATATTTTCCTCACAGAAACAGAGGATGGGACATTCACAAGACATGGCGAATACTCTATAAATGGGGGAAGAATAGTTCGACTAATTCTATACTACTGAATAATTCGAACTCGATCAATTTGAACAAAATGAATGTGATTTTTTGCAAAATCCTCTAAAGAAAATACTCAAAAAATATATGAGATACTTACATCTACGGCCTTGATCAAGGTGTGGAAGGTTTCTTGATCTTCGAGGGATAGCGATTCTATGCCTAGATGTTCAACGTGCCTAAAAAATGCAGATACTCAGACAAAAAAGAATGTAAAAAGAAAAGGACTTATGAGCCATTATCCTTGGAGGATTATCCTAAGCAATCAATTTTATCGTAAGAAATCAATATTAAAATCTGCTTTCTTGCATGAACAGATTATTCAAAACTTTTCAAACATTTGACGTCGCACTTAGAGAAACATAGGGCAGTGGGCAATTGCACCAAAACACGATGGAGTCAAATTACGGTTTTATTTACTCGTCATAAAACCTATGATTTTGCGCCGAATTGCTTTACCTATAGCTCATAATCATAACAAACATCTCAGACAACTGACCGAAACTTTCGCAGAACGTTCAGGAAAGTTCCGCCGGGTCACCTGTAGAAGTTCCGATAATCGGAATTATCACAGCAAAAAAGAACATCTAAGCGGTCCAACCTTGCTCTATAGACTACGAGACTCGCCTATCGTCTACATTACGAATGACATATTCGATAGCACGCTACTTGTTGACGAGGAAACATCGTACGAAACAACACATCCAAAAACCTGCGGAAGTACTGGCATGTCAAAGTGCTGCGGAACCGCTGGCATTTTGGTGCTTTGTAAAAAGTTTTGCGGATGTTCCTACTTTCAAACAGTCTAACATGAAAATCCTGCGGTAGTTCCCATCTCAAACTTCTCCACGTTTGCAATAGTAAACAAAATCCTGCGTAACCGCTGCAAATCTCGCTTGTTTTGCGGAAGTTCCGGTAAATTGTCTAAGATAGTAATAACTTTTGAACAGAAACTGACTTTTGCATCTAGTAACGTAATTACGTTTTCGTCCAAACTCAACTTTTAGAATCATTATTACGAGGAGCTAACAAAAGTAACATCATCAACCGCGCTAATGGACATAAAAGGACGTTCCTAGCGCAATAGTGGCGATTACAAGAAGTCAATCAATTATCGCGCTACAAGCATCAAAAACTCGCTCCACGCAAAAACAAGCGAAGATTCGTCGACGGAAGTGGCCGGGTGCTAGACTCACTGGAAATCTGAAGGGGCACTGATGTCGAGGCGCTTGCGCTCTCTTTCCACTTTTTTCTTCTTACGTTTGATCGTGAAAATTCCGCCGAGGAAGCCTGAAAAGGGATGGTGAAGGCAATAAATCATTTTATACGCTTAGAGACATTTGAAAGATTGCAAAAAAGTGACAGAAATTGCAAAATTTCAACAACTTACTCCTTCGCTTTTCTTTCGGATCTTCCGTCGTTAACGCCGGCATAGCTGAAAATCGATAATAATCAGTCATTACCGATTATACAGATAGTGGACAATAGAGGATTAAGCAGAAGAGGAGAGAGGAGGAATGTACCGCAAAATTCAAAATGACTTGAAAATAATCTGAATTTATTTTGTAATCTACAAATGCTCAGATTAACTGTACAAAAAGATTTTGTCTTAAAATTTTTGTAAAATTACTATCTTACATGGACTCGCTATAACTTTTGAAGTTATTCCAAAGATTCTTTCGGAGATATTCAAAAGATTTCTGTTAAGTTCTCTTTTCACCCGAAAAGGAAAAGTTATAGTTAGATGACAGTAAATATGAATTTTTATTAATAAAATAGCTTATAAGCAAAATATCAAAAGCATTTGATTTAAGGAATTGTTGATGAGTAATGCGTTGGTTGAAAGCACCTAGTCATTTTTCAATTTTAGAGCAAAGAATAAAGATCATGGAGAAGTAACAATTTGCAAGAAGCACCAGTTGTTGATTTTGCAAAATTTTAATGCAACTAAAAACTTTCCAAAAAAGTAGGAGCTCGTGTTAAATATTTTGAGCACATTTGAGATAACAAGTAACCAGGCATTCAAACGACGTAGTGCCTATCCAAATGCCTTACTTGTAAGTGGCGCTGTGATTATACTTTTTTTTGCAAAGATAGAACACAAAGACAAAAAGTCATGCAAAGCAAAAATGGAGGATTGACGCTCATAGGAAGCATTCTTACAGGTTTCTGACAAAAGACAAAAAAGGAAATCTTCGAGGAAAAATGAAGAAGCATCGTAAATTATACAAGTCAATTAATAAATAGAACTTACCAAGCTCGGTGAGCCTATCAATCGCTTCGACACCACCAGCCTGAAAATATTTCTTATCAGGCCTGATAATAACGCTGTTAACTACTGTTTGCGTCAGCGAAACTTCGTGGAATTGACGGAAATGAGAATAGTTGATGCACAAAAGAACTAGAGGAACTATAACGACATTAGGAAACTCACAACTGATGGCGGAGGTGGAGCTTGTCGTTTCGGCTGACTGGCTCTTCTTGAGATTCGACCTGCAAGCGTTAATCACAGATGAATGATAGGCAAAAAGCACTGAGGATTAGGCACTGGGGCTGACTTCGATTCTCGCTGACGAGGATCCGATGAAACTCGTCCGCCTCGTCAGGATCGTAGAAGTTCAGACCGCACACGTCACGCGGAAACGTTTCCATGACGAAGGTGAGCAGATGTTCGTCCGTGGTCTTCTCGGTTTCGAAAAATGCTGAGCTGAAGAAAACAAATAAAATTGTTGGAATAGGCCGTGGAAGATTGCATTGCATATATCAACAACTTGAGCTAAAATGAGCATTTTGGTCCAGAATCGAATTCACTCTGGTTTGATAGGTTTTTTTACATTCTTAGCGCATTTTCGCATGTCTCAAAAACCATACTACGATAATAATAAACTCAAAATTTTGCAAATTTTCGCGGGAAGTTATTAGCTCCAAACTCACACATTCATCGTCCATAATACTTTTGCTGGGTATCGCCCGTCCGGTTTCGGCAGAAGAAGTGCCAAAACATACTGAAAAACGGTACCGTAAACCTTTATTACGGGACAAAATAATACTTATTGTAAATCATTCAAAGAAAAAATAGCTACCTCTACTTAGAACAAGCTACTGCAAAGTTGTTTTTAACAGTTTGAAAAAATTTTAACGCATGTAAAAAAATGTTCCATGAAACTCAGACTTTAGATGTAAAAATCTAATAGTCCCAAATAGCTCTGAGTTTCCTAACATTTCAGTTATTTCGAATTTTCTGATGCACGTATAATTTCACAGCTGTTAATGAGTTCTGAAAATCCCTACTTTCTTTACAGTTTTTTTTCACAGCATGTTGAAAATATTCCTCATAAAACATTCAGGAAGCTGCCATTTAGTTTGAAACGCGCGCATCAAAACATCGTGAATAATCTCATCTCTATTTTTTTTTAGAATCACTGTCTGCAATGTTTTGAAACAATGTTTTGTGCGAAGTAAAAACAAAACTTACGCTCACCTCCTTTACGTGGCGATCTCGAATAAAGCAAATCACACCGACTTTCGTATCGCTCCAGGTATTCCCCTCGGCTTGTAACAATTGGCAAACTCCTGTACACAGCGCCTGAATCAATTCAAATATTGATGGAGTGGGGGAGGGAGGCGTACGTGTAAAGGTTTTCGACTGCCTTGCCATAATATTGTACTTTCAACAATGAAATGGAGAAAATAGTATTTTCTTCTGACAATGAGTTCGCGGAGGGGTGAACGATGTTGCCAAAGATTGAAGAAGTTTCTTCCAGAACAAGAATTTCAGTCTTGAAACTATCGATAGTAAAAAACAAAAATTATCAGAGGAATTATCAATTGTTTTTGCCCATCAAAATCTATAGTTTTCTCTCATACGCAGTTTTCTTTTTTTCTCTTTTTTGAAGTGCATTCGGAAATATTTCTGAAACAATTTTTCAAGTTCTTATTCCACCAAATTCCCTACATTGCATGGTTTAACCAAACATCCGATGAACTTAAAGTCCAAGCCAAGTCCTCAAGTCTTTTTCACCTTTCCAAAACTGCTTTTTTCTTCACTAGAACCGGAACCAAGCTCTCATCACCAATGGTGAGTTGACAAGAGCTATTTATGTTCCTGTAGTGCAAGTTCTGTTTGTGTTTCGACTTAATTTTGAAATCCTATAAGCTTGAGGATTTCTTGACATCGATACGTCTTTAAAGCCTCATCCAGTCGCCAAGGGCAAGTCGTCTTAGCGTTATTTAGGGAAGCAATCTATGGAGATTGCGTGAGTCAAGACGACTTAGATTCCAAGGAGTGCCAACAAGATAAATAGGATTAGGCGTATGACTTGAAGAATGACATCCCCATTAGTTTAATAAAAAAAATTTAGAAAAATCGATAGGGAACAGGAATCGGTAAAAAATAAGCTAACGAGGAAATGTTCAGAAGTTAGCCCAGCCATTCCAAACAAGCTGTATATCATCGGACTCACCTTAAATGCTGATTGCAAATATTTTTATCTGCCAAGCGACTATCTGGGAAAATCCTGAGCGTTCGAATATGAAAAATTTTTCGAGTTTCGAAAAATATATTTCCTTGAAAGGCAGCCTGACGAGGCGAATTTACAGTAGCTATGGTTATTTTAAATACGAGGAAGAAGGACATTCTCCAAAAACCCAGTAAGTGTTTTCTAAAACCTATTTCGTAAAACATGCACCACAGAACAAATCGCGCATTCAAACGCTTATAAGTCCTCCCAGATTGTCGCTTGGGAGATAATAAACATATACATATCAGTGATCAGCGCTTTGTAGATGAGTCCGATGATATACAGCACGCTTGGTATGACTGGGTTAAGTTCTGACCATTTCCCGCTAACCCTAAAAGTATAACGAGTGTTGAGAAGAATTTAGAGCTGTGAATTTGGAAAAAATCAAATCGATTCAGGAACGAAAAACCTTCGAAAGTGTTGTTTATAAAACTACAGCCTTCATAGAAAATTGATGAATTGAAGGATGGACTCAGTAAGCAATTACTGCAATTTGCACAAAGATTTAATTATTACATTGCCCTCGTAAACTTTATTGCGTCCTACATTGAAAAATCTATCTCAGAAAAATGATAGTAATATCGAAATTTCTGTTCATTATTTTGTATTTCAGAAAAGGAAAATCAAAAAAGGGTCATATCAATTTCTCGCATTTCGGAGCATTCCAAAATTCGTAAGAGCACTGAATTATTTTGAACATATTAGAAAATAGATTCGAAAACATTTCGTCTCGCCTATTTCAATAAGCTATTGATAGTTTTAAACTAAAGCAAAAAACTTTTTGGATCAAGGGCTACAGGTGGTTAGACTTAGACCAACTTTGTTTAGAGAAAATCTACAACAAATTAGCCCCAGCAAACTAAATATTTGAATTATTGAATTAGAATTAGATTTTTCAGCAGTAAAAGGAAGAAATTAGCAGTGAATGAGCTGTGAACAAGGAAATATGATAAGAAAAAAAAACAGGTATAGTTTATTTGTACACTTTTTTTCGTGAAATTCAGATTTGACTTATTCAAAAAACAATCACCACATCAATACGAGATTTTTTTGTTGAAATAACGTTCGTATTTATTCGAAAAGCGCGAAATTTTATGAAAAAGGAATTGCCTCACCACCTTTGCCGATGGCTCCAGATACGTCAGTATACTTCGCCGCTCCTCCGTTGTCAAATGACTGGAGATGCGATTTTCTCGGTTACTGTAAGGATGCTGTAACTACGCAATCTATACTCTATAAATAAGAATACTAACATTTTCATGACGCTCATCGGTCTATCGTAGATTTCATTTCCAACATCGATAATCGTCATTGGTGTTCGATAATAGATTTCTTCCGAGTCATACAAAAACGATTCTGAAATGGAGAATTATCATTGTATGAGTAAGAAAAATTTCGATGAATAAGAAAGTGACGAAAAGGGAAGCAGCTAAATTACGCGGGAAATCTGTATAGGAGTAGGGGGGAGGGGGGCGGTGTCAACGACCGTGTTTCGTGAAATTTTTCACACATTCTGATTCAGTATAGATGACAAAAGCTAGCGTGCACGTAAAACCTCCGTGTGTACATTTTTCAACTGTACAATGTACTTGACTACTTTACCCCACTTGTATCACGCGATTTTGAGAGGTTGTACGGCGGTGTATTGTATGCGGTAATTGAAATCGCTTGAAGGTGCTCGCCACGAGTGTGTTGCGAGCTACCACGATTCAGTTCCATGTATTTGTACAATGTCGTGTACTTAACTTTTGAAGAGAGTGCTACCCGAATGTAAATAAAGACGAAAATGTTCTAAAAATAAGTACAGTCTCCAGTGTAAAAGTTGTCAGTTTTTGAAAGTTTCCTCCAAGTTTACAACTCCTTTCAACTCAGCACTGTATGTATATTTCCTTTCATCCTCACATTTTGTTGATATTTAATCAAGGGTATTTCTTTGAAAGTTTTCAAAGAATCATTCATAAGCTTTCGTATTGATTCCTACACGATCCCCATAGAAGAGGATTTTCGAAAATTTTGGTTTTTTCTCATCCACCTTGATCCTTAAGATGTTAGAAGTACTAGAACATCAGACTGCTCATAGGAGTGACAACGCCATATTTTTAGGCTGTCTCAAATGAAACTTCCTTCTTCAAATAATTTAGCCTGTTAATTTTTTGATCTTTAATTCAATCTTCAATAATTTTTTACACTTGCTCGTAATCCAAAAATGAACAGCAAGAACGAGCATTTGTCTATCACTAGTGATCTGAAGCCGTTTTTACCATTTTGCGCGCTGTGAGTAGCCTACATTATATAAGCGTGTCGTACTTTATCGGATCGCTCATTTTGTCATCATTTGCTGTGGGCGACCGTGAGAGAGAGCTGACATCCTTACGCTCCTCACCAGGAACACTTGGTAAGCTGTTCAACTTGAGAGTTTATCTGCGTTACAATAGACGAGTCAAGTGTAGAGTTTGGAGAAGTGTCTGGTGGTCTAGATGGTTTGGTTTATGAGTGATTGACTCGCTTTCAGGCCCCTGAAGACGGCATTCAGCCGAAACGTCGGGCAGTAAATAAAGTGTTTCTTTAAAAACCTGTTACGGCTTAAAGAAAATTGAATGAAATCTACAAAACATGCCAAGGTTTTACAAAAAGGAGACATACAATAAGATGCTTTTGTTTTTCTGGGAGGCTTAGGGCATCATTTAACTGACAAGGGGACCGTGTCGAGTCGAAGTGGCCTTTCCAGATGAGACCCATACTGCTTTGAAGAGCATTAATCAGTGATTCTAAATCTGCTTTCCAAATCTGCCAAGCGCCTCTGGACGCCGAGTTATGCTCGTTTTTCATGTCAAGAAATTGAACGCAAAACTAGAGCAAAATCGCTCAAATTTGCGCAAATGGTCTAGTGTCAACTATCAGACCTGTTTAATCAATGGATATATTTTATCTGATATGCTAATACTTAACATTGCTTTATCTGAGCCCTGGAAAGATTGTAACAATTAATTTCACCTAAATTCTGCATTCATTTTTCGTTCCAAAAAACGGTCATAACTCGGCGTCCAAAGGCGCTTGGCAGATTTGGAAGGCAGATATGGAATCACCGCTTAATACTCTTTAAAGCAGTATGGGTCTCATCTGGGAAGGCCACTTCGACTCGACACGGTTTCCTTGTGAGCAGATCAAGTTCTACAAAATGACCACTAGGGATCCGCCTAGTCGCATTCCATGCAAATTTTGAAGAAAAGATCGAAAAAATTTTTGTCACCTGAAAATTGGATTGTCGCTGGAAAAAATTCTATGGACCTCCAACTTGGTCATTATATGGTCACTGGTATACAATAGCATTCAAATATGCCTTTATTGGATTTTTCCGCATTTAGATAGAGAGAAAATGAAGATAGCCCAAAAATGACAAACTCCGCCCTAGGCCCTCCCACATATGTCATTATATACACAAGATTGACTAAGTATAAGCTCAGAACTTTATTCCTGTATTGCTCTTATAACCGGGAAATACCAGGTTTCACATAAAAAAACCGAAACAAGTGGCATTTCAGCATTTCCGGACCATCCTCGTTTCTCAATTTTGAACAGCGAAAAATCCAACAAATACATTTTTGGGTACTACTATTTGTCTACTATATAAAGACCAAGTTGGAAGTTCGTATTCCAAATTTTCTGGAAGAAGATCCGGTTTTCACGACAGCAGAAAAATTTTGATTTTTGGCTCCAAATTTTATCTGAATTGCGACTCAGGCGTATCTTTGATGGTTTGTTGAGCTTGCTCCCCTCTATTTAGGAGCACCCTAGGTCTGTTAGAAAAACGGCCCAATTTATTTGAAAATGGAGTTTTTCGGGACACCCAATATATGTATTCTCAGAAAGTTTCAAAAGAAAAAGCACAAGGAGAGGCAATAAGTACTCTACGAAAATAAGAAAAGTCTGAATATGTCCGCAAAACTGTCGTGAGCTTGGTGGCCATGTGTGCATTCGCGGCATAGGTCACCGGTGGGTACCTCATTATATAGGTGAAGCAACTTCGAGTATTTCGGAAAGCTTCAGGATATTTTTGAAAACAAAAAGAAACATGCTACAAATATTATTCGCCAGTCTTATAGTTCAGGTTGATAGATAACTTCACTACTCGACTGATGCGCAGTTCTGACTCGTCCTCCTTGACGAAGTTATAGTTAGAAAGTCATCCGCGGTTCCAGATCATTAAACTTATGTCATCTCCGCAGTTTTTAATTATGACACAGAAGACTGAAACCAGCTACTTTGGAGGCAAAATCGAATGATCTGGATCACATTCATACTTTTGATTCCTTAACGACCTTGCTGAAGATGTAAGAGTCAAGCGATTAGGCCTTCATCAATTATGGAACTATTTTTCTAATGTGAGTAGTGCAAGAGTACCTAATTGAGACAAGTGTCTTTCCTTTTTGAAAAATTTTCGGACGGACTAAATTTTTAGTTCTCGGTTTTCGGACACTTTCCTTTTTGAAAAATTTTCGGACGGACTAAATTTTTAGTTCTCGGTTTTCGGACATAATCCACACCAAAATTGAAAATGTGCGCAGTTTTGCCTTGGCTCCTACAGTAACGGCATAAAGCGAAAATTTTCTCTCTTTCTGTCTCTACAAATTTCTGAAACTTATGCAAATAAGCAGATCAAACTTGGGTTACACAGTGAACTAGGTTGGTTTCGTATAAGCAGTACAAAAAATAGGTAGTAATTTGCAAGGCACCATGTTTAGTCTAGAAAAAAAAGGATACAAGAAAAAATCAGATGTAAGGGTCTGACTCAAGCCTTTCGTCTTGTCAATACATTCTTATCAGTCCGCATGCTTCATATAATCTGATCCTTTAAGTGAACATCAGAAATGTAGAAGATGTTGTAAGAAGTATTACATAATTTGTCCAAAACTTGCAACTTTCTTCAAAAAAAAAATACACGAAATGCGCCGGCGGCAAGGCAAAAAGTCACCAAAAGACTTCATGTTGTTATAAGTAGCTCTATAACCGCCATGAATGAAACAGTCAAATGAATAGAGCTCATATGGAAGCAATGTTCATCATTGAAACAGCTGAATGCATAAAATCTCCAGTACAGATGTTCTAACAGATGAAAGAATGACGTGGGAACATTTCGCATGCACGAAAAGCAGATATGGAATGGCTTTGATGATTGTACTGCTTTATAAGTCGATAGAAGGGAAGCAAGGAAGAGAGATGTTTCGGGAAGGAAAAAAGATATGGAAATTCGGCAAGGTGTTGAAATAAACAGAAGCTGCAGAAAGAAAATATATCAATAAAATTAGCAAAAAAAATCACAAAGAAAGAAAACAAAAGATTTATACGGATTTGAATACACTTCGTGCCAATTAGATCTTTTCAGAGCAAAAATGAAAAAACGATAATAAAACTAACATTAATAGATAGCCAAGAGTAGTGTAAGTTTTGCTGAATGGAATAACTGTTTATAGCCCAAAATTACACTAAACTATTTTCATCTGAAGCAGAATTCAAAGGTGCTTGCGTGCAGGAGCCGTGCCAGAGCCGTGTCAGCGCCGTGCGGGAAGCTATTGATTGAGACGCTTTGGCACGGCGCTGACACAGACAGCCCTGGACACAATCTGAGGACCAGGTACGATATTGTTTACACATAAATTTATTTTTCTAGAGATTAATATCCAAAAGAAATTGTAGTATGGAATGATAGTGCAATTGCACAAAATAATCAAAATCTATTTGAAGTGAATCCGCAGATCGGCGCATCTGCAACGCAGCCGGAATGAACCCCAAAGAAAAGCGAAACTGGACACTACGGAACCAGGGAGCATTTCATGCTTGTTTTTGTGTTACAGAACGAGTTTCAAGCTGAGGAAAGCGGTATCCTTAATGGAAGTTCTTACGACATCAAATGCGTCAGTGAATTAGCTCAGTGTAAGTTGAGACGAATGAGGATATAGGGCAATTTAGAGCTGGTAGTGTGTTGAAACATCAGCCAGATTTCTCAATCAGTCGACTTTAAGAAGTGGCTGAAAGCATTGTCCATGCAATAAAGACTTTGTTCTATCATGTAGAATAGAGACAAAGAGTATAAACCATCTATGCTGGTTTTCTTTCCGCAAATTCGATTTTCTTCCCCCTTAAGCTTAGCTAACCATTATATATCGGTAGTAGGAGCAGGAAAGGAGAATAGACAAGTCTTGTTTTTTCTCATCTTCTTTCGTGGTGACGAAAGCCCTTCACTTCTTCTAGAACAAAATGTTGACTAACGCACTACCTGTCCTTTCATACTATCGGGCGGTCTCAAAAATAATGTCGCATGATTATTACACAACATTGCTGCAGGGTAAGCAGAGCTACTTTGAGTAACGTTTAATAGAGCGTAGCAAGCTTCGCCAAGATGGATTCAGTCTCTCCAAAGTTGATTTACGCGAGGTTCGAATTGAATATTCAAAAGTCTGCAAATGCCCAAGAAAATTTCTCATCGTATTTTCGTGCAGAAAATCTTAGAGAGCCCTAACTTGCTGAACTACACATTTTCTATAACAGGCATCCTAGCACATGGCAAAAAAGTAATGGAATCTGGGGTCTTTGAAAAAGCAGTTTTGAGTCTTGCTATGCTCTGATGAACGGTACATTAATCACTTTTTTTATTTTTCACCTTACTGCGGTAGCAAATGATAAGATATTATTTTCAGAACCTGATAAAGTCAAGAATTCAAAAAAAGAGGTGTGACTGGGGGCAGGTGTAACTCTAATAGGAAGATATTGAGTTTTTAAAATCTAGTGATTTTGTGATTGTTTCACACAAATCGAAAGTTTTCCACTTATTCCTTCCTTCTTTCTAAGGAAGAGGGTAGAAAGATTAACATTTTTTTGTTGGAGAGCGGCTCAATTTGTCGTTCATAACCATGCTGAATCTCATAAGAATACGTGGCTAAGAAATCTAACTCTTGCGTTAGACGTTAGTTTTACTGTTTTATAATCTGAGTGGGTTTTGAAATATGAGAGGAATTCAGCACATATTATCACGATCACTAATCCCAGTCATAGTGCAAAATGACTATTTTTGCTTTTCACACACTTCAATGAAATGATGAAATGTCAAGAATGGTGCATCATCAATAGCACAGTATTGAGAAGGACTAGGGGGTCTGGAGGAAAATTTATTCACTATTTTAAAGAATATTGCACAATAATGTGCTGCTGCAAAATAATTTGACTCAGCTAATCACACTTACATTCCATTCTCAAGCAAAGATGCAATAAATGGACAAAGTCCAAAGACAACCAACAGAATAATGAGCTGTCCTTATTTCAGTTAGCCTTCTATGCTTTCCGATTAGAGAATCAGGTCGCGCAAATTGGGTCTGGAAGCTTTTTAGGAGACAGCATTAGCAAATCTATTTACATGTAGCTCGCAAAAAAAGGAAACATACCAAATTTTGACCGTTTTTAACTCAGGCATCAAAGTTGGGAGACTTTGAAATGATATGCTACCGATCTCACTGTCGGAATTGTTTATAATATTGTGAAACCTTAGGCTAAGGTTTTGGATATGCATCATACCCAGATGGAAGAGTGAACCTCTTTTTCGTAGCTTTGACTGTGACAGCAGTTAGAAAAAATGTCAATATGTTTGCGCAAAAATTTAGTTTGGAACTTCTTAATATTTTTCAAACTGTGTAAGCATATAAGGCTCATTAGTTTTACAATGAGATCATAATCCTTTCATCAATTAAGGCACTTTTGTCTTCTATATAAAAGTCCCACACTTTGAAGAAGGAAGACGTTGCCTAGGTTTCCGCTTATTAACTAAAAAATTTATTTTGGAAACTTTTGAAAACTGAATAGGTTTTCAGATCTTAACGTATACAAAACAGGCTCCCAGTCGCCATTCTGGGATTACGGTAACCTTTGTCTGCTCTTAATGTCACCAATCTTGTAAGTTTTTACAAATTCTGTGAAAATCCAACTAGGTTAAACATGCACACTTTGCAACACAGAAGATCATACGACAAAAAAGAAGAATTGGACGACAATCAAAGTATAAAAGTTGGGCTTTACAATTTTTGGAAAAAATTCCTTTTGAAAATCAAACTAGACCCTCTTTCCTTATTGGAGAGTCCCGGGGAGGATCTAGATCTCAAAACTCCATCTAAGGAAAGGGACGAAACGGAGATAAACATATGTAAAATTGTTTTTTCTCTATCATACCACTTATATGTACCTGTTGCTTAAAATGAAAGTTTTGAAATGGTTTTAAACTGGAACCAATATAAAATCAAAAGTGGGCATAGCGCTTGCCGCGTCTTACGAATATTTACTAAAACAGTGAAAAATTGTAATGGAATTCTTGTGAAACATATTCTTTCTCATTTGTACTAAATAAGCTTGAGAGGGGAATCGAAGTCAATTTTGGAAATCGGCAAATGGTAAGCACATGAATCGTGCAATACTGCGCTTGTTGTGCAATACACATTACACGAAATGACAAGTCAGTAAGTATAGATGAATTTTCAGCCATCTGCTGGTAGAAGCCGAGAGCAGCGGAAATTTCCGGAAACTTGCACATTTTTTCCTGACTAGGACAAGCAACTCAGAGACAAAGCATGACGAAGCCGAGTGAAAAACGAGCACGAGAAGCCAGAGGGGCCCAACAAAAGACTGCGACGGAGTGGAGACGATTGCTTGCGCGCGAATCAATTCTTGGATGACTGATACTGTTATAGACAAACAATTCTTCTGAAGAGACCAAAAGCGATAAGCACCGCCTGAAACGCGGCAAAAAATGGACTGTGCCGCTTGGTGACAATGGGCCATAATTAGCCCAGCTGATAAGATAAAACAAGATGAAAAATGGTAGCCGGAAAAGAAAAAGCAGAAAGAAAAAAGTGGAAGGAGCAGCTCACCTATATATTTATTATTGTTATTATTTCTCTCAGCATATAGTTGACTATCCACAGAAGTATCCACCAAGACATCATAGACGGAATATCGACGTTTCTTCGACGAAAACGTCAACGTCATCTGAATTTTCAGAATACATTAGCAGTGCTATGTTGCGGAATGGGACGTTAAATCGAAAAGGTGGTGTTAAATGGAAAAATGCACGAATAAAGAAGAAAAGAATAGTGGTATTAATTAAAAAACCGCTCATATTTGAAAAAAAAAACGAGTTAATGTAAAGTAAATGAGTGAATTCCTGCGAATAGGGTTCAAACGGCGGAAAAATCCTACAGCAAGAAATCACTGATAAAAAGGTTTGAAGGAAGCTCAAATTGTAAAAATTCTAAGAAATCAATTACAGTTCCAGCGAGCACTGAGTATGAAAAAAAAGTCGAACATCTGTGAGTTACATGTATAGGGCATGTATAGGGCACATTCAAAAAATCGTGACAAATGCGCGACCACGCGCCTTCCGACCGCATTTTCTTGGGTTCAATCTCTACTCGACTGGTTTTCTGCTTAGGTATGGTAGTACTTAGACTTTGGAAGTGACTGAGCTGGGTGTTGAGGGGATATCTTATTGTATATGAGGGGCTATGCTCCTGTGGGCGCAAAGACCGCAGTCAAATCCGTCGTCGCGATTCTATAAATGAACCTTATAAAGCTATGAAACTGCTACTGAACAAAAGCTTACAATAATAAGAAAATAGTTCAAAAATGCAGATATGGCTCTGACCAGGAATGAAACCCTGCAAACTTTGCCTTCCTAATCCAAGAGAGCTAGCTTGCAAGCAAACTGCTTTCAAACTATTGGTGGCTGCTAAAATCCCGTTTGAATTTTTATTTCACACCTTTGTGTTTTCAAAGAAAAAGTTTACAGATCTGGAAATGACATCAACAATCTTAGTTTTTGGTCGAAGCGAGGATTCCAAATTCATGAAAACTGTGTAAGCATGCGATTAAAAGCTGTGAAATGAAATTTCAAAACCAAGCTCTATGCAAGATAGTTCAGACATTAGTTAATCAAATCATTAGTAGTTTCCGATTTTTTTCTCACACTTTCAATTTTATTCGCGTAGCAGAATTGTGACAAGCTAGAAATGAAAAGGTACTGAAAATGTCCGCTAACATCCCATCAACGGGGTGTTGGCATTTATCGAGGCTTCTAAAAAATAACGAAGGAACAATTGTGAAAGTGTTACAGACTACAGAGGAAGCTTATATCGTTGCTAATAATCTTGTAAATTTACAAACTACTAGGAAGATTCTACTCAAATGAAGGTTTGTTGTATAAAAAGAAAAACGTGAGGAATCGAAAAAAAATGGAAATCGCACGTTGCATGTTTTGATGAGCACTTGACATTCCAGAAATTCCAAAATTGCAGTTGTCGCCCTACAAAAGCGTTTTTGCTCAGACTTTGAAGTTTGCAGATAGAATCTATTTCGAACCGAACTTTTCACGAGCAGAGCTCTGCACCGAGCGAAACGCGGAATACAAAAGGGGGCACCTCGTGTGCGGAAAACAATAGAAAAGGTGTTTTCTGAGCTGTTTGTTAACGTGGTCCGATCTCCACACTCTCAAACACACCAACGCCTACAATGTTCAATTAGTGCCAAAGATAGGGAGTAAACAATTATGAAAAAGAGTAAACAAAAATATTAGTGACAAAAATGATGAAGATGAAGAAAAATGATGAAGATGAACTAATAAAGCAATGAGCTCCAGTAGTTGTAAAGAAGATGGGGAGATCTAAACAGCAATATGATTTGAGTTAGCTACATTAGAAACATGGGTCAATCACACTAAGCTTCAAATACCTCTAGCGTACCACTGCAGTAAAATCGAGATAAGATGTAATTAAAAAAGTCGGAGTACTGAAATGAAGAGGTGTGAAAAGGGCAGAAGCAAATTATTTACTATCAGATTTTCACAAAGTGCGTATCTCATTGTAGAAAGTGTTTTGACAGCGAGTACGGTTTGATTTGAAGAATCAAAAAGTACATAGTCTGTTTATAAATAAATGGATTGATGAGGAAAAACTGAACCGCAACCAACTCTAAGATAGGACACCATTGTTTTTTATAGGAATAGCCTAAGGCAATGAGAGCCGATAATTTTGATTTTTTTTTCACAAAAACTTGTGTTAAATTCAATGGTAGCCAAAAATAGATATCTTCTTTACGATGTTGATCGAATCCCATTAGAAAATCACCATTACGGGTACACACAATTGAGGGTTTGAAAACTGCTAAAATAGCTAAAAGGGTCTAGAAAAAGGTTTGAAGAACGGATACGTACATGGATTTTTGAAACACCTTTATACACCCTTTCCAGCAGGAGCTCAAATGATTCGCAAATTGTTTAGCAGTTTTGATGATAATACAAATGAATTAGACATCAAATTAAGTCACTTAAGTAAGAATCAAGAGCAAGTTAGATTACCTCTTACGGTGCGCGGAGACACTTCGCAAGGACAATCTACGAGGTAACAAAACTAATGGACTTTTTTATGATCCGAACATTTACAAACGTTTGGCCAGAAATGCTCGTATTGGAAGGAATAAAGGGAGCCTTAACCCTCTAAACATAAGCTGTGAAGTTTCGACTGAACCGGGAGGATTAGAGACGGAACGGAAAATGTGTTCACTTTCTTCATTCGTAAGGAGAAAAAGATATAAGATTTTCTTTGTTTTGAGGTAAAGAGTTCATTTGCAAATGCTTCCCACAAAAACAGTTTCAGTAGATGTAGTAACAGTAGATGGTCCAATTACTCTTTGTTGTGGTGATGGTGCATTAAAATTGAAGATAGATGTTTGAGAATGAAGACATGCCGCATATCTTGAAAAATATTTTTGCGGACCACCTGACATGTTTTTTTAACGAAGGGCTTGTCGGCAAAGTAACCTTTGCTTCAACTGGCTTGAAGCCTGGAATGCGATTCTTTGTGACTCGATTAAGGCCGCTCGCATCCGCGACGCCGTCTGCGTCTCTGTTGCGCGCGTGCTCTCTAATCATTATCTAGCCTCAGCTAGGTCACGAAACCCTGCCTTCCAGCCGCCAGGCCAGTTGAATCAAATGGTAATCTGTCTGAATCTGCGAACTCATTTAACACTGTGAACTGACAGCGGGTCTGTAAGATAGATAAGCTCTAATCACAATCAAGCTTCGCTTTTCTCTTGAGATGGAAGACACATTTGTCAGTAGATTTGCGTGGAGTAAGAAAAGGGTCCAAAGATATGGAGATTGTAAGAAGAAATAAGTTCAAAAATCTGCAATTTTCAGTGAGAGCAGGAGGAGAGGAGGAATGAACCTTGTCACCAGAGAACCATAACCGGTATATAGAGATTGTAATTTTACATAACAGCCATTGAGTGAAGAGTGGATCAGAAATTTAGGAAACGAGTTCACAACAATATAATAATGTTCGCTATTTAGGTCAATACATAGGTCTGGCACCAAAATTTGGGAAATTCTTATCTTTCCCAAGAACAAAATCTTTGATTTTAAGCTACTGACTAGAGGAAATCCTGTATAATCCAAAAGTATGAAACAAATATATTCATGCCATACCGCAATAACACAAGCTGATAAAGAAAAATACTTACAAAGTGGTTTTTATTGAATTATTAAAATCAAAAAAGGCTACTAAACTCCCATTTTAGGCCCGTATGCACGTACATCCCCTCGGGGAGGAGAGGGGATGATCTCTCGCTGCTCTAGATCTCTTTTTTCCTTCTTCTTTATCGTACTTATAAGTTTCTCATACCCCTATACCTGCGCATAATGGATGCCAGGTTACTGCTGCTATACAAGATTAAATATTCATTATTTCTTCCGATCCCCTGAGGATCCCCAGGGGATCATCTCACATTTTCGAAGTCATTTATTTTCCTGAAAAATCAAAAAACGCTGCAAAACTGTACTGAAGATTTACTACGATATTGCTGAGCATGTTTTCGACAGAAGAAATGGAATCTGAAGATTTTGATTTTTTCGATAATCCGTGGCCCGCGAGCAGCGGTTCATCGAAAATTTTGATATTCTGAGATTTCACTCATTTCTACCATAAACATGTTTAGCACTGCTATAGTATATCTACAGTACAATTCCAGAGCATTTTCATCGAGTTTTCAGGAAGATAAATAACTTTGAAAATGTGAGGTGATCTCCTGGGGATCCCCAGGGGATCAGATGAAATAGCGAATATCTAATCTTGTATGGCAGTAACCTGACACCTGTTATGCGCAAGTATCAGTATATGAGAACATTCAAAACCAAGACAGAGAAAGAAGAAGAAAGATACGTAGACTAGCGAGATATGACGCTTCCCCTCTCAGATCCCCTCCCCTCCCCGCGGGGATGTACGTGCATACGGGCTTTAGTTTGGTTCGATAACATGCTTCATCTGAGATAAATCGTGCTAATTGGACGTTTCTACGAGGGGTTATGATTTTCAAATTTTTTCATTCAACTTTTTGCTCTCAAAAAAATCCGAATATTTGCGATAAAATACAACTTTTGGTATCTATACGTTACAACAAAGCAGATGATGCACTATGAAGAAAATTAAAAAACACTGCTAAACTTTTTTGAACTCAAACTTTTTCATTGGATGCAAGACTTATGTTTCAAATAGATTATGGAGTTGTTTAGAAAACAAAAAAATAAACATTACCGAAATCTCTTCAACTAGAATACATCTGGATATTGCTGGATACATCTGGATAAAGGAGGAAACAATATTTGGCAGAAAAATTCCGATGACTGGAAGAAATGAAGGCGTTAAAGATTGGTTTCATTGGTGCCAACTAGGGAGGAAAACTGGCATTTGCTGTGTTATAAATCTACATTTCATTGCTAGGATTCAAATCCTATATATAACCTGCGAAGCGAAATCCTTGTTGGTCAAGCAATGTCGCGCACGAAAAAAGCGATGTGAAGTATAGCTGATGAGTTGCACGACTCTCATAAAACAAGACTTAGGGGATGTAGACGGATCTCTTCGTACAACCGAATGCATTAACGAATTGCGCAATGGTGCAAAACGGTACATAGGGGGATTAAAGCGCGACGGGTCCGT